TATCTTTAAGAACATTACAGAGTACAATATAATGTGATTGCATTAGTTTTAGACTGCACTCACATTACATCCATTGGCTGTAATGTGATTGCATTGCAATCTTACATTGATCTGTTGTAAAATAAATACTGTAATGTAATTTAATTAGATACATTACAGGGAATGTGCTCTCACTTCTTTAATACTAAACGCCGCTTAAGTATTTACATTCTTTGATGAATGACAGAATATACAAAATAATTTTTAAATTATTTATAAAAATTTAAATAATATTTAATTTTTATTATATTAAATTAAATTTTTTTAATAAAATATTATAATATTAACGTAATATATTAATATGTATATTAATGTTACATAATGATATGATAATGTAATATTATTTATTTTTTACGTCTACCTTACATTATCATTATATGAATATAAAAAAATAGTAATATTTTAATTAATAATAATTAATTAAAATTATAAAAATTTATTAAATATAATAAAAATTAAAATTTTTATAAATATTACATCATATTCGATATTTTCTTTTTATTCAAATCATTTACTATAAAAATAAAAGAAGATAAATCACGTTTACGTAATAAGTCACCAAATTACATGACGCAGTTTTTACTGCGATTCTAGACGGCCCCATTTACGCGATCTTTCAAACAAAGTGTAAATGGTGTCGTGGAGGACTTCATGAAACGCCACGCAGAGTCAAAACGAACGACAACGTGCGCTTGCCGCGCGATGGAAATGGCGGCTGCACCATTTTGTACACGTGTCATGATCCTTACGGTTAAAATGATTTTCGTGCGTCGTCATCGAACGGTGAAGAACTCAAGCCATACTCACTACTACTAACATCTTTTATTAAATTAATTTGTTTTTGTTCTTGGTTTTCTGCTCCTTACAAAAACTTTGGAAAGTTTTCAGGATTGGAACAACAGGAATCGGTGCAGCAAAGCAAAAGGCAGTGATTCCGGGTAGCAATTTATGGTCCAAAGCTTCAACTTAATAGTGGTAAGCATTGGGTTTTCCTTCTTCTAGTTGGTTGTTTGATACCGTACAGAATCAAGTTGGTTATACATTCACTTCCCAAAGTTGAATCAGCTTCTTTTAACTTTCATTTTGCTGTTTGATTTCACTGAAAGCTGATTCTTTTGTTTCCCCTGTTCTTTTCTCTGGGTAGAGTTGACTTGTCTCTATCTGTTAGAGTTGACGTACTTCCTCTTTGAATCTTTTGTGTTTCTCTTTTCTGTTCTGCAAACTGTATTCAGATGATCACGACATGACATCACCACTAGCTGCTTATCTGGAATGATGAATCAAGCAATTAATGATCTAAGCCGACTGAAATGTTTACCTCTTAATTTTTATTTTAATTTTGAAGTTTCTATTGCAATAGATCTAGTGCATAGAGATAATGCTTGCAGTGTATCAATTTGCACAGCCTCTGCCAAAATTTTCATTGGGAACTCTTGGTGGGAGGCTCAATCTGTGGGTTCCTTTTTTTTCCTCAAAGTTGTCCCCTTTCCCTCAGTCCTGGGTAGAGTTGTCTAATATGATACTTTAGACTTTCACTTTCTTCCTATCTAATCATTAATAATATTTTCTCTTTAATTGATTTTCTCTTTACATATTAATCGCTCTCTTTTTCTCTTCGCAAACTCATCTTATTTTAATTCATGTTCCTTTAATCAAATTTCCTCCTCTATTAAATTGCACCCTTTTGATTTTCTTTCATTCTCTCCGGTTTCTTTCTTTCTGTTAGGAAAATTACAAACAACAAAAATAAAATCTAGACAAATCAAGCAAATAGAAAAACACAAGAATTTACGTGGTTTGGCCTATTGTTTAGGTCTACAGAATACAACTGTTCTTCTATTATTGAAAAATTAAAATGCAATAAATTAACCTCTATGATTTACCAAACCAACCCAAATCCATTGCACACTTTTCTCAATAACCTCTCAAAAACACTCATCCAAACTACTCTAGCTTCACTTAGAGCAAAACACATAATTACAAGGTGTCCCTTCTCTAGAGCTTTCAAAACACTCCTTACAATTCTAAAGTTTAGAGATACGCTTTCATAATATAAGGGCTTGGCACCTGCACTTATGTTAAAGCTAGGCTCATCTTATGTGAGGCTTCCAAGAAACTGGAAGATGGTTGGCTTAGCAATGGTGATAAGGTCCCACCAGCTAAATTCGCAAAGATAGCTCAAGAATATTCAGAATGTCCACCGGGGAAGAAGGGTGGAGATTTAGGATGGTTTCTGCGGGGTAAAATGGCTGGCCCATTTTAGGAAGTTGCCTTCAGGACAGCTGTTGGAGCTACTAGTGCACCCTTCAAATCAACACATGGATACCATATCATCTTGTGCGAAGGAAGGAAGAATTGATAGAAGCAAGCGAATTTATAGTCAGGCGGTGGAGATGGGTTTTATGTTATATATACAGACATGAAATGTGTTAAAGTTTGTCCCATTAACTGATGAAACTTCGGATTTGCAACTTGATAATGCTTCTTCTGGTGGAATAGGTTGCCTAAAAATTATCTTGGAATATATTATGCTAATTTATTTACCTCTTTTCAAAAAAAAAAAAGGATTTTAGTTGATTTCAAACCCAATTAAGTTGAGTGGAATGTTTTCCTTATCATTTTTTTATGAGTTATTCACATCTATGTAGTTAAGATTATTATATTATTCAATTGTCTAGATCAACTTAGGATCCTTCAATCCGCAAAGCAAAAATTTGGCATCCGGGACATGGAGGAAACTACATCAGAAGTTATGAGTCCCTGTTTAACCCAACAGATGGCATATGGTACAATGTATGACCAAGTAAACCATGCTTTAGCATGGAACTCTCGGCAGCATACAAACAGGGGAATTGTGCATTCTCAAGCAAACCAATTCCAATTGGTTCAAGGGGAACCATCTGAAGCTTCAGAACAACCAAGAGCAAGACGTTGCAGACCTAAACTGAATGAGGATCAGAGAAGGGAAAACAAAAGACAGACTGATATCAAGTATCGGCAAAACCAGAAGGTAGTGAAATATAATTGTCTATCTTTCTCAATTTTATTTACTCATTTTCCTGGTAAAGTTGTTTGTGTATGAGGTTATGCTATCTCCAAATGAAAACATGAGGGAACTTATATGATTATGACATATCAAGGCTCTATTACCGTGATGAAGCTGATACTGCATGTATTTGTAAGTCTTCCAGTGAGGATGACAATTCACAGGAACTTAAAGATGTCAATGACAAATTGAGCCTCTATTGTCCCTGATGAGGATGATATTGCAGAAATACTTCAATAAGCATTTGTAAGTCCCTCTGTCAGACACTTCAAATCCTCAGGCCAGCATCTCCCTTGTGGATAAGGAGGGTTGCTGTCATCATCTATCAGTAGGTTGCAGAAGGTTTGGGGTGGGCTAGACTATTCAACTATACCATAAAAAATTGGTTCTTGCAAGAGTAAAAGAAAATTTGGTCGCTGCTACAAATACCTTTTGGAAAATCTTTTTACAATTCCCTGGCATGTATTTGGCTATACATGTCTGTATCTTTCCTTTGATGTTGGTGTTCTCTTGTGCAGATAAAAGTAAATGAACTGACTGCTGAGAACAAATGCTTGCTAGAGGAAAATAGGCGCTTTAGTACTGAGAATAGACACTTAAAAGAGGAAAATGGAAGGTTGTCTGTTAAGAACAGACACTTAGAAGAGCATCTCAGAAGACTGCAATCCAAGGGAAAACTTCCAACCGAGGATACACAGAGACAAGACAGTTATATTTCCCAACCAACCAGCCAACTTGATCATCAAATTGTTCATGTCCAGGTAGTAAGTTTGGCTTCCAAAGTAGTATAGTACACAAACTTGCTTCTAGTCAGCTTTTATTATTCCAGGAACTCATTTCTCTAGTTCTCTTTGGTCAATTGTCTAATATCTTTGGCGAACTTATAACAATGGTCAATATCAGTATTTTCCCCAAAAGATTAGTTATGACCATTCTTGTCAGAAGTGGCATATTATATTGTCATAGGTTTCAGACCAGAAAGAAATATATTGTCATAGGTTGGCAGATATCTTCCTTGTTATTGCTGCTAATATAAAGCAAATATTGTTAACTTGGGAACCTAGAAAATATTATGTTAAGTTTTCTTTTCCTTCTCTGATGCACTTATTTTGATTCCTATCTATTGCTTAATTCCTCTATCTCAAAGAATCACTTTGGAGTAATATTTGATGTTTAATTTATTAGAGAAATTGGGTCTACGGTTATGCAATACCTAAGACCTATCAGCATCAATTACTTGTTTCTCACATGCTTTCTCTTGACTTGCAGGACCACCATGGAGTGGGCTCTAATTATAAAGAAGCTGTATGCACGGTAGGATTAAGGTTACAAATCATTGTTATCATATTTGGTGTGAGACATTTACAAAATTTACCGCTAATCTCTCACATATCTATCTCTTAACTTGCAGGACCGCCACAGGAGGGACTCTGATATTGAAGGAGCTGTTGACTGGGTATGCTAATAGTTTCAAGTTCCTTAACTACATTCGACTTTAGATATGTTGAAAAATTACCATAGGAGGAACCTTAAAACTTTAGATATCTTTTATGACTTTTCCAATTAGAAGTCTCTTTGGCCCTAAAATTTAAAAACTTTTATTTTTTCTTGAGAAGGTTTAGGATCATTCCTTGACAGAAATGAAGTTATTTGTAATTTGGGATATCTGAAAATTACATATTATTCAATAAGTACTAGTACTTAGTGATCTAAGATAGCTTGATATATATATGTATATGTGTATGTATCATACCTTCAATATCTTTGACATCTCAAACTAAATGCACTTTTTCTTTAAATTTATAATTCCAGAAACATGATACGTTTTCCAACTTCTTGTTTCAGTTTGATGGTTTGGAAATGAATGACTTATTTTTTCTTGAGAACGAGGTGAACCAAAATGAAAGAGTTGCTATCCATGAGTCTGGTCCAGAAAATCAAGATGGTTATCTAAGTGGTATGTGCAGTGCTGATACAGCTATGATGGAATTCCTTACGAAACTAGATGAAGACATTTTGAGTAATGCAGCCTTCTCAGACTTCACCGGCTTGGAGGGGGAGCAGAGAACGGTTTGGAGATACAGTTTTCCATTGTCTCTGATTCCTACTGTTGAGAGAATCAATGATGCCTATGGTGATGTTTCTGCAGCAAGTCTAATCAATCCCAATGTTGCTGGGACAATCTGCATTCTGTTCTGTGCTACAATCAAAGAGATGGAGGATCTACAGCTTGAGCAAGTTACCGAGAACAAAATGATTAAGTGGAGAGATACAATCAAGGATGCTCTACGCATTAATTTCAGTGTTGGATTTGCAATGGAACATTTGAAGAAAATTGCCCGTGCTTACTTTGGTCTACCAGGAAGCACACTACTGTACAACATGGATGCAAGAATCTCAAAATTAGAGGCTGAGGTAAACCACTGGAAGAAGGAACGTGATAAGATATATGAAGGGTCCAAGTTGTGTATAGCTGCTGCAGAAGAGTTCACTGGAGTGCCTGTCAGCACAGGTCTATTTCCTTCATCTTCTTGCAACTGATTTATGCATATTTGACATCTTTATGCCTTTCTTACGCTTACCAGTTACGAAACAGATATTCCATCTCACCTAATATCTTGTATAAATAACCATTACTAGGGCCAAAACCACCACTAATTACCATCATTGCATAGTTTGTACCGTATCATAATTCTTGTATTCTTCTCAATAGCTATGAGTCTTAGGGCCCGGCTCAAAATTGAGACATTAATATTGAATTCATTGTTTTATTTTATAGTGGATTTGTTGTTAGTTTGTTCTATTGTTTTCCTTTGCTTTAAATTGGAATCTTGTTTTAGAAAACTATGTGATGACTTACTAATATGACTTCAATTAGTAAAAACTTACCATACCACACATTGATGCATAGAATATTTGTATTTTATCAATAAGTGTACGTTTATTTTATTTAAAAAATTTAAATTCGAATTTATCTTGTAAAAAAAATTACCATGCACATTGATTACTGAAATTAACTTTTACACTTTCATATTCTTATTTTTCACTTTCTTTTTTCTAGAAAAACAAAAAAAAAATGTTTGCACTAGTTTTAAATAACAAAATTGATCTTTTGTAAAAAAATTTATTCACATATTTATGATGTTAGAAGTGAATTGAGGTTAGAAAATTAAGAACGCAAATGATTGTATTTTCAGAACCAAATTGAACTAGCCAGTAGGTCAGGGACTGAGAAAAAAAAATGGATAAAGTAGAAAAACGGATTTGAACATAATATGTGGCTCGGTTTCCATAGTTAGTTGAATAATAATAATAATTTAAAAATAAATTTGAACATATATTTGGTTAGATTCCATAATCAGTTGATTAGAGGTTATGTAAAAAAAAATGGATAAAATTGATTATTGTTTGAGTAAAAGCTTTATGGGAACTACATGCGACAAAGTGAGGCATACTGATAACTCTATTATATAGAATTAACTTATGCATCTCTGAAATTTAGAATTGAGTCAAGTCTTTTAGTTTTAAGTAATTCATAGGTAATTTTATGTTTTGTAGTAGTTATTTAATTTATGTCATGGCATTTATCATATATACAATTTCAATGAATTTCTTGTTAAAATTTCTCATTTCAACCTCTAATTAATTGATTTTCTAATATTGAAAGATGTGTAAGGACTTGGAACTCAAACAACAAAGGATGGTGCACAAAAGGCCTTCAAACATACTGTAATATTTTGACCATAACTCGAGTTACAAAACTCCAATGGACACAATTCTCGGACTTACAGAAAGCTAAGAGAAAAAACGACAACTTTAATGTTTAACACTTCACCCAACTCAAAAAAAATCATGGTCAAAAAATGCAAAAGAAGTTGATTGACTGCAGTAGACTAGTCAATGTTGACAAAAGCTTGGGTGCTTAGGCGCTTAATGCACTGTCCAACATGTTAAAACAAGCCACAAAACAGAACCTTGGACAATTAAGTGCCGACACATAATTCTGCACATTTTTAACCATTCGATTTTACATCAAATGACCATCAAAAGGGGTATAAATATATTATTCATTAATTGAAATTAACAACAAAGCAAACAATGCAAATGCATGTAAAGTAAACAAATCAACCGCAAAGCTCAACAATTAAAAGAGTCCAAGGATTTACCAAATCTTGGGCTAGGAATTTCATACAAATGTATGAGTTTTTTTTTTTTTTTTGAAGATTAAATTTGTATGAGTTAAAAAGTTTAGTATTTGATTTGAAGAGGAAAAAGGGTTTTCAAATTTGTACGAGTTAAAAGGTTTAGTATACTTATTTGGTTTAAAAAGAAGAAAATTGTTTGATTGATTCATGAAAAAGAAAATAGGAGAAAGGTGAAAACTAAGGAAAACAAGAAGAAAAATGAACACTTTAAGAAAAACCAAAAAAAAAAAAGAAAAGGAAGGGTTAAAAAAAACTGAAGGTTCTATCAACAAAAAAAAAATGAAAAAAGAAGGAAGAAGTGAAAAAAAAAAAGTAAAGAAAGGGAAGAGAAAAATAATTTCAAAATTTAGATTTCTATCAAGAAAAAAAACGAGAAAAGAAAAAAAGAAAAAGAAAATAATTTCAATACCACTACTCAAAATCAAATCAATTGATTTGTTTAAGAATGGTAAAGTTATATATTTTAAATTTTATAAGCATAAAATAAAAAAAATTAAAAATTAAGGGGTGGCACCACTATTGCCACCCCTTTCACTCTTGCAAGAATTAGGTTTAAGATTTCATGAAAATGTGGTGAAGTTACACATTCTTGGCATATCTTTGGAATTTCATAATGATTTCGAATTTTTTGATGTTGAAAATATTTACAACCTTGTAAATAAATATAACCATGATGATTTTGTTAAGTATAATAAAAGACATCTAAACTATCAATTGGATCTATTCAAACCTGGCATTCTTTATAATCATATTTTAAAAAATGTATTTACATTTTTTAAATTATGTCAAATATTGCAAAAGATGGGATATCAAAAATTTACTTCCTTGTTGATAGATTAATTCAGTATGTCTTGACTTTTTTAGTTTCCACAATAACACCAAAGTATGCATTTTTTGCTATAAAACTTGTTAAGAATTAGACTCGTAATAAAATGTCTGATGATTTTTTAAAAAATTCATTGATCAATTTCATTAAAAAAGAAATCATTCGAGGTTTTAACATTGATTCAATGATAAATGCCTTTAACTCTATGAAAAATCGTCGAGCTTAATTAAAGATGCACAATCTTAACATGTAATTGTTATTAAAAAATATTTTTATTTCGTACTTAACATATAATCATAGTTATTTGTATAATTTTTACATGAATTTTTTTCTTTAAATTATTTTATATTTTTATCAAAAAATGAACTTTGACTCTATGTATTTCAAAATTAGAGACTAACTTGACAAGTTGTACACAGATTCGGTAGGGGAGTTTAGTTGCAACCCTATTAACACAGGTCTATTTCCATAGTTTTCTTACATGTTAATGTTTTTTTTGTAACGCTACATTGTTTGTTTCAATTTATGTTTGGCTACTGAAATCCACTTCATACATAAAATACTACGCTTGTTTTGTGAAATAGGATCAAGCCCTGCGTGATACCATGGTTTTTCTGGGATTGGGGAGCACAGACCAGCCCAAGCAAAGCCAATGGTAGAAAACCAAAGCATCAAACCCAGTACATAATTTTACACCAACAAACTCATCAGTCCAAAATTTACACAAAACAACACTAGAACTCTATGTACAAATACAATTAAGCAAGGGCAGCATCTTACTTTGTCTTTGCTCCAACTTCAAAATTGGAAAAACACATGGTCATACAGGACCTGCTACTATTCTCCAGGAATGAAGAAGCTTTCCTTTTGTCTTCGGAATTTTCAAGTGCAACGTTAGAGCAACATAACAGGAAACAACTCCTCTTCTTGTTTTTCCTTTGATTCTTTCCCGATACCATGCCGTCGACTGTGGGATTAGGCCCCGGGTGCAGCTGAACTACTTCACCTTCTTGAGGGGGCACGGTGACACTGTCTTTGATCTTTGAAGTTTCAGTAGTGTAACCCATGATTTTGCCTAAAAGAATTCTTCCAGTTTGCTACAAATTGGCAGAATGCATAGAGGTTAAATACAGGGAAAGTAAAGGCTGAGAGCATCTCTTTGTAGATGCTAATCTTAAACAATCTTTAATTCTTCCAGCAAAGGGCAAATTAAATAAATCAAAATTCATGGACTCCATTGTTCTGACTTTCACAGGAAAAGGGCACTGATTATGATAAGAAAACATTTGTTGAACTAACACTTAGATTGATTCAATGTTTAATTTAAATTTATTTCTAATTTTTTGGTAATGGTAAGTTTTATCTCAAGAATGCTCGGCAAACCCTTCCTAGCATGATTGAGTTCTCCATATTTCTCATAAATAAATTGGAGTCATGTTCCCTCAATTATTTTTCTTTTGGCTTAAACCTCAACCCTAATCTTATTAATTTGTCATGCTAATTACATCCATTTACAATTTAATATTTATTTCGTTTCTTTATTTGTGACTAAAATGAGGCCATAACTTTCCAAGTGAATTCTTAACAAAAATAAATAAAAGATTTCCAATTATTAATTAATTCTCTTATATCATTCAAGTTCAAGCCCCTTGTTTACACCATTGCTTAGTGAAAATAAATCATAAAAATACCAACGCAAAATAATTCACGTATTATATTTACAAATATGTGAATCAATTTATCAGATTTATTACAATCAAATCACAATTTATCCAAATCCTCCCATAAATTAAGCCAATAAATAATTTTTCTTCACACTCAAATACACATTAATTTATTTATTTTACACCATACATAAAAGCAATCAATTCTTGTTGGATTAGTACATTAATTTGAAAGCTTAACAGACCAATATCACCAAGCTAAAGCTCATCACTTAGCAACCTTCTCATGCCCACCATCGACTTGGAAATTGGAAAAACACATCACCATGGCAAGCTTGCTGTTCTCACTCTTCAAACTTGCCATGGCTTTCTCCAGTTGCTCCTCGTTCTCAAACTGCATGTTGGAGCAACACATGAACAAACTTCTCCTCTTCTTCTTCTTGGCCACGTTCATTTTCTTCCCTTTAGGGGGCGAAACATCGACGACGGCAGCTGCCGTGGGAAGCACCTTGATGTTGGTTTCGGGAGGGTTGTCGACGGTGGAAATGGCAACGTACCCGGTGGTGGTCTCGGTATAACTACTCATATAGCTTGCTTAGAAATTTTTTTTTTCAGAGTGCAAACTAATGGAAAAACTATAAGCATTATATAGAGGCAAAGTCAATTTAGTGTTGTTTAAGTTACGTGCATGCTAAGCATTTGAATAAACATTAGAAGGCACGAAAGAGAACAGAAAAAGCCTTGTAGTCAATACAAGAATGGTACAAGGTTTAGATGATTTTCAATGGTTTGTTCGAGGTTTATTCTATGGGCACTGGCACTAGGGATTATTATACAGGAATATATAGATATGGATTTTTATGAGGAACATTGGGTTACACAGGCCTCTTGTATTCTAAAAACTATAGAACAAGAATATAAACAAGAGAATAAAATGAAGATTAGGCACATTAGGGTATTATAATTATAATTATATAATAAGCTAGCTGAATCACTAGAGGCTGCTTCTTTGACATATTATAGGCGATTATAGTTTCGGGGAAAATTTTATATTTGAACATTTGACTTAATAACATACGCACTTATCAAATATTTAAAGAATTAAATTTAGTTTTTTTATTTTTAAATAAAAGAAAAATAATGGATATTAGTATGTGTGTGAGAGAGAGATTTAAAAATCAAGATTTTATCATTTATTAATAAGAATTTAAAAATGAATTTAGAAATGATTAGTTATGGTTCACTAATCACTGCCAATATGAAATACGAAAAAAATATAGATATTTATTTACCATGCATGAATGTAACTGAAAAAATCCCCATTTAGTATAATTTTTTATTGTTATCTAATCATTTTTTATTTTAACCTTAAAATATATTTAATTTTTTTTATTTATTGTACTAAAAGAACAAAGATGAAGTCAGAATATATTCAAGAAGCTTTGTACTGACAATCTTTAATCTTTTATTATATGAAAGAAATTAAATTAAGCTAATTACCTGAGATAAAATAAATAAAGCTCCACTAATTACGCTGATTAATTATCTGAATTTGTCTTGAATTAACTTTGATCAACTTGACTTGAACTACTGGGTTCAGTGGTCTTTTTCCAAGAACAGTGTTAAATAATGGCCTTTACATTTTATTATTAATTAATTCTAAATTAAATATTCATCTTAAAAACTAATATAAATTACATAAACTAACAGAATGGTTTGGTTGACAAGAAAACACAAAAAAAGAATAGAGGTAGCTTGGGCCTTGGGTGATTTAGATTGTTGAGGTAAGATGTGGTCATTGAAAAGCTATTTTAATTATAACAATTAATGACAACATCAATGACTAATTGTTATAATTAATTTTATTGTTTTAATTCTCAAGTCAAATAAGTTTTTTTTTATTTTGTGTCACATATACCCTTATGGCTAATAGTTAAAAAGTTATTTTAATTATAGTAATTAATGATAATATCAATGATTAATTATGATAATTAATCTTATTGTATTAATTATTACATTAAATATATTCTAATAATTAACAATCAAAATTTCATTGAATCAAATAGGCTTTTGTGACTAATTGTTGATAACTCTCATTAGTTAAAATATTTCTTTATCATTTTATATTCACGTAGTATTAATATAAAAAGTGAAAAATATTACGTAATAATCATCATATCATCATGTCATATTAACATGAAATATTATCATTTATTATGAAATATCAATATACGACATCTACACTATATGATATAAAACATTACAAGTGAATTTTTAACTAATTACAGTTAATTAATAATTAATTATAAAAAATTATTTAATTAAAATTAAAAATAGAAGTTTTTAAGTAATTTATTTTTTAAAAATATTATGTTTTTTTTTAAAATCAAGATGATAGCAAAATGACTCAAAATCTTAAAATGGTTTAAAAGAAAAGGGAGAGAAAAGATAAGGAAGAAAAACATTTCTGCATTTTGACCGAGAAAAGCAATCCTCAACGTCTGGTTATTATTCAACTCCATTTCTCTCCCTCCCGAAGTGTACCCTGACTTGAGTTCATTTCTTCATTAAGAACCAAGCCCATTTCAAAAAAGGAAAATCCTGTAACATTGCTCATCATCTGCAATGACATCCCAGATGTCATTCTTCCAATTGTAAGTTCCTCTCTCTGTCTGGTACAGTTCACTAATGTAAACAAAATGGATAAAATTTTGTTGCATTTCCTGTTCTTTAAGGCTTAATTGAACATTTGAAAAAGCTTGTCTTTTCATTTCTGGGTTTATTTTCTTTGTGGGTCTTGAATGTTGTAGAGATTTTTTGAGTAACAGTTTCAAAATTTGCATACCTTATGAATACCTCGTCTAGCTGGAAAAGATAATGTTTGGATGAATACAATGACAGATATAGTCTTGAATTGCCAACAAAAAGGAAATTTGTTTTACAGTCTTGCATTGAATGGACAAAAACTCTGAATTCTGGTAGTCTATTTGCCAAAACTATGTATATTGGAATGTTCTCACATGTATTTTAAAGTCAAGTTATGTTGAGTTCCATCAAGCTGGGAAATCTTCTTCAATGGTTAAAGAATAAACAGGTATGGTTTTGTGATTAATATTTAAACTAATTTTGTTGATTGTGATTCATTGGTTTAGTCATATATATCAAGTTCTATAGCTTTGGCATGGCAGGACGGTATGGTAAAATTTGCCAGTAACTTTAGTTTTGATGTGCACTCTAACAGACTTTAGTAATTTGAAGTATTAGTATCACAATTGGGTAAATCTTTTGTCATGTGGACCACAATGCATTTCGTATGTACTCTTGTTACATAGTCAATTCATGGATAATCTAGTTTCATTGTGTTGTCAAATGCTTGTAACATTCTTGAGATTCTTGTGAAGCTCTATTAACACAGAAAAGCAATGACTTTTCTTCTTTCCCAGTCAACAAAGCATTGATCTTTGCTATGCAATTAGTTCTTAAAAATGAAAAACAAACTCTTATTAACTAATAGGTTTTTACATTCAAAGGAATGATTTTACACGCTTAAAATGTTGCTTTCAGCATCAGGATTGTTCCAAAGTATAACCATCTTTTTGACCCATCAGGAGATTGTCAGTTCAACATCCACCTTGCAGTCACATTCCAGACACCCTTTTGTGGCCTCTTTCTCCTGTGGCGGATTACATGCATTGCCAACCAAACATATTGCAGTCATATTACCATGAATTTGTTGTGAAAAAAGTACTTTCACCAGTTTCCTTTAGAAGTTCCTTGAGCCTTCAAGCTGTTAGAAGCTTGCAAACTTCCATGGATGCAGGGGAAACATTCATGTACTGCAAAACATTTTGGTCAAAAGATAGTATAGAGTCAATACAGATGCAAAATTTGAGTGAGAAGGCTCAGGTATATGGTCATTATGCCTCTCATGTATGCTCTAATGATGAAAATCGGAAGGAAGAGCAAAGGAGGAGGAAGATAGGACTGGCAAACAAAGGGAGGGTGCCATGGAACAAAGGCCGGAAACATACTGCAGGTAGCTCCATTCTAAAATTTAAATTAATCACCTTGGTTTCAATCTTTATGCAATTGGTAAATTCCAAAGGTTTAAATTCTGGATCACGCAGAGACATGTTTACGAATCAAGCAAAGAACAATAGAAGCCTTGAAAGATCCCAAGGTGAAGTCATATGAGACCGAAGCAGTTTTGGGATGTTTTTATTTTTCACATGGATATTCTTGAAATAGTGGGTAAGAACTCATGATATGTGACCAAAAGCATAAGGGTTGATCTCATTCCATCGGCACCATCATATGCTATATAGATAGGCATCAATTTTAATGGAATTATAGGAGTAATCATTTTTACTAGTGATCTAGTTTTTCAATCGGCAGCAAAAGCATGTGACATTTTGGTTCCTATATTTTATATCTATTATTGCTATGTTTTTATTTATTTTTCTGATAATCATTGAAAATTCATCCATCCTTTCATTTCCAGGTCAGGAAGAAGATGTCTGAACATCCCCATACTCATAGGTAATTTTGCTAGACAAATTTTCATTTTGTGAGTCTACAGAAACTTTTGCAGTGGATCTGTCATTAACCATCAAACCTAGAGTTTATTTCAGACTTTGAATTTTATAGATGTTTCATAATACTTTCAACACAAAAGCTTAAGCAAATAGGTTGAGACCAAACTAACATTATGTCACTTATAACTCCCCCTAAGTACAGGCCAGCTAGCCCTTAAATGTGTTAAAATTAAAATTGGCCTGAGAACTGGTACCTACATGTGTTAAAATTAACTAATACCCTGACAGCCAAGCATAGTTGGCTATATATACTACTCACATGCTGGACCTAGTGTTTGAAAAATTTAAAGCTAACCATCAGTCTAAAAGTTTTTGATTAACGATTTTCCATTCAATAAGGTAACATTACAGGCTAACAATAGGAATGGACATTTATTTCAAGGTCCTATCAAAATGCAACTAAAGATATTTTGGATGGTCTCTAATGGTCTCTGCAGTGCATATATAGCTGTTGCAGTTTGCATTACTTTTTAAGCATCTTACAAGGGTAATGTGGTTTCTATCTCACAAAAATGAACAAATCATGTGATTGATGTGCATGTTTACATTATGAAGATAGAAAGTCGTCAAGTAAGCAACAAAAGTTTGTAACATATTAATCTCAGTCATCCTTGGGTGCAGATGTATCCTTTCATTGCTATATATCTAATCTTAGTCTGAAGCAGAAGCATCTAGGATTGCATTTTATTTAATTTAAATTTGCAAATTTTAGTTGATTTAGGAGTTTAGTTTCTTTATTCTAGTTAGATTAGGATTCTTTTCTTTTTTTTTATTAAGATTTTAATACTTTTAAGGATTATTATTTAATTAGGCTAGTCATGTTGTATTTTTTTAAAAATTTTTATTAATTATTCTAATTGTATTAGACAACTAGAAGTAGAATTCTATTAGGATATGGGCCTATAATACTATAAATAGGACCCTTAGGCTTAGTTATTATTCATATTCAAGTTGAAAGTTAATAAATAATATTTTCTTAAACAGGAATACTTATTTCTTTTGAAGAGTAAGAGGCTTTAGTATTTTTGGTCTAGCCAACTAAAGTGGGATTTTAGTTATTTCAACTTAGTGGGGTTTTCAACTTTGTCAAGATTAATGATTCACTTTAATGGGGTTTTCAATCTCGCCACGATTGGTGTTTTTCACAACACCTAGGTGTCTTTCACAACGTCCCGACATCAGTTTGGTATCAGAGCAAAAGGATCATTGTTCGCCGCTTAGTTTAAGTTCGCTGTCGAGTTTCGATATTCCTTCTTCAAGTAATTTTATTTTATTTTATTGTTTTATAGCTATATCATTATCTTTTTTCTACATCACCACATCATTATCACCATACAATAAAATGCTACGAAGACGCCAAAATCATCAAAGTGATGATCACGAGATCGAGATTGCAAAAATACATCAGCAAATTCAAAAATTACAAAAGCAGCTCGCAAGACATGATACTCAAATCAACAATAACAGCTCTTGTGATGAAGAGAATGGCATCAACCCGTTTCATCAAAATTCATCTTCTGATGAAAAAGTACTTATTCATCGCCTAAGAACTGTTGCTACTACTACTTTGATACCAAACTGACGTTGAAGTGTTGTAAAGACACCTAGGCATTGTGAAAGACACCAACCGTGGCGAGGTTGAAAACTCCACTAAGGTGAATCACCAATCTTGGCAAGGTTGAAAATCTCACTATGGTGAAAAATAGTCAAAATCCCATTTTAGTAGTGATGAAGAGAATGGCATCAACTCGTTTTATTAAAATTCATCCTGTGATAAAGAAGTACCTATTCATCGTCTAAGAACGCTTGCGTCGAAGCAAAGACACTTAGTTAGGCATTGTGAAAGACACCAATTGTGACGAGGTTGAAAACCCCACTAAAGTGAATCACCAATCTTGCCAAAGTTGAAAGTGAAAAATAACCAAAATCCCACTTTAGTTTACTAGACCAAAGATACTAAAGCCTCTAGGGTGAATCACCAATCTTGGTAAGATTGAAAATCCCATTCTGGTGAAAAATAACCAAAATCTCACTTTAGTTTACTAGACCAAAGATACTAAAAACCTCTTACTCTTTAAAAAGAGCCTAGAGAAATAAACACTCTTACTTAAAAAAATATTATTTATTAACTCTCAACTTGAATGTCTCATAACTAAGCTTAAGGGTTCTATTTATAGTGTTATAACCCCACATCCTAATAAAACTCTACTTCTAATTGTCTAATACAATTAGAATAGTTCACAAGAGATTTAAATAAAATAGGTGTTCTATTCCTAAATAGAACATGACTAGCTTAAAATCCTAATACAAGTAAAAGAAAGAATTCTATTATACTTATAATTCCTAAACCAACTAAAAGTAGCAAAAACTAAATAAAATACAATCCTGGACGCTTCTGTGTCATAGTTATTTTTGCTTAATGAGCATCTTAGAATGAGCTTTTCCAACTTTGGGCATGAATTGGTGTGTCATTAAAACAAAGCTAATAAGTTACAGTAAACTCACCTCCAAAGATCATGGAAATATGACGATCTTGCAGCGAGCAAAGCAAGGCAAGAATTGGGTCTTCATTGAGACATGTTTGGGCCAAACGTTTGAAACGGAAACGGTTGGGTGAGAGATTTTTTCTATCATGGTTGGAAAGCATAGCAGAAGCTGCTAGGAAAGGAGGGACTGACCAACCCGAGCTGGACTGGGATAGCTATGACAAGATAAAACAAGGAATAGCTCTTGAACAGCTCCAGTGGGCTACAGAGAAGGCCAAGGGAAAGGAGATGGCCAAGGTAAGAGCAGCAACAGCACAAGCTGAAAAGATGGCAAGGATTGCTCAAAAGAGAAAAGAGCAGGAAGAGAAAGTAAAAGCAAGAGAACTGAAGAGAAAGGCACAAGGAAAATCAAAGAAAGATGGGGAGGTTGCAGATACCCAAGGTTTGAAACTTAAGCAGAGATTAACAATGGTAAGAAACCTCAGAAAGACATATTTTTAGACCCTCCAACCTGCTTCAATAGTCTACTAGTAATTATTTGGATAGGCTGATGACTCTACCATTTTAGATTGATCATAAAACCTTAAGGATGTTTCAAAAAAGTAACAAGTTATTCTGTAGTGTGAAAGAGAATGAATAAAGCAGAGAAAATGAAGAAGGGATAACTCAAATCATAACTATGACAATGGGCAAAAGGACTTTTTTTTTCCTAGGCCAGTTTCCAATGTTCTCTTCCCAAAGTTTCTCTTTGGAAGAAAACTCTTCCATGATATTTTGATTGCCTTGTGACAAACACAACTTGAATGGACATTTATCTGGATTGTTTCCTATCTGAATTTCATTACAGGGAACAATCAGCTCCATAGAAGTCCTCTTTTTCCCCTTTACAAACCTATTGGGTAAAACAGCCTGAATATGTGCTTGTATTTTTGCAGATTGTCATTGCAATCTACTGTGTTAGGGAAAAGTAGCTTGTGAAGGGCTTCTGCTGACAGAACTATTATTAGTGGTTTCTGTATATAATAAGCCTTTTGTTTCCATGGTTCCCTAAATTATTCTCTATGGTAATATCTTTTATCCTTAGATCCGCAAAAAGAAATCCATAAATAGTCAAGTCAGTATTCAAGGAGACACAGCACATGTCCCAGCTTTGGAGATATTGAATATAGAGCTTATTAAGAAAGAGAAAATGCAAAATGAAGTGTCACTTGCAGAGCAGATCAAAGCAGCCAAAAGCAGAAGAGCAAAATCAGTTTCCACAAAGCTTATGGCAGTCTCATCCTCCAATCTCTCATATAGTGCGAGACTAGAAGAGTAAGCTCCAAACACATTTGTTTCTGTACACAAATCAATGCAAGGTGCATCAGGCAGAAGGTGATTTATCCTTTTCAACTCTCTGTTACTTGCTTTCACTGATATTGTTTATTTCAATGGTTTCATTATCGCTTTTACTTTATAGGAAGGGAAAATAAATTTTGGAACCATTCCAATTGGTCATGTCTAATCCATGAAGTAAATTTTAATTAAAGTGAGCATTGACTTGCTTTGTTCTTGCCCTGCTTCCTGCTCTTTCTTTATCCATATTTTTCCAGTTATGTTCATCATTCTACTTTCCTGCTATTGCAACAGGGTACCTTTGGAGGAGCTATTGCCTTTTCATCTGAGTATTATGTTCAGGCTCAAGCAGGAGGCGATGCCATGTTAAATTTTTTGTATTGGATATTTTGAGAAATAGAGTTAAAGTGTCTTGCTTCCCCATGATTCTGGTAAAACTAGGATGTACATGTAACAACACAAGGTGGAGCCTCTTTAGGTATTCTTTAATGCTCTATTACTCTTGAACTCTTGTGAACTGTCGCTTAGTTTTCTGTTAATGCTTGTATTAACTGGCTTTCATGGAAGATTTAATGATGTCCTCTACATGGTTGTTACAAATTCTTTTAATTATTTGTTTTCCTGTTATCACAAACAGAGTAGCTGACAAAGAAATTCCATCATCATATCCTTTTTAGTTATAAAAAATGTGACCATTTTTGCATTATAGAAGAAATATTTAAAATAGTTGGGATTCAAGGCAAAATATATGTCC